ACCAGGGTTAAACCACGTATCGTTCCCAGCAGCCAATGTAATGAATACGCTAATGTCATTGAGCGTGCATAGCTCACCTGGCGTGGACGACATCAAACCGAAGGCGTTGAAGACTGCGGCCATGAACCTTGCCGAACGACTAGCTCAGTTTATTCAACATTGTCTCGACGAAATGCTGGTTCTCACAATGTGGAAACATGGACTAGTCACTCCTAGATACAAAAATGCGAATCGTTCGGAGCCCTCCAACTAGCGTTCAATCACTTATCTCCCAGTTTTGTTCAAAGTAATGGGATGTATAATTGCAGAGGCGCTCATGGGATATCTGAAGAACAACAACATCCTAGTGTCCCAACAACACGGATTCCGCCGAAATCGATCCTGCACTATAAACTTTCTGCTAGCCCGAACAAGCTGGACAGAGCTAGCAGATGCCAGGGTGGGAGTCGACGTTGTCTACCTGGACTTCTCGAAAGCGTTCGATCGTTTGGACCACCGCATTCTCCTTCACAAGCTTCGAAGCTACAGAATCGGTGACCATATACCCGGTTGCATCGGCAACTTCCTCGCTCAACGTCAGTTGAATGTGAGTCCGCAGCTCCATTTCCGACCCAACAGACGTCCAGTGTGGCATGCCTCAAGCATCGGCACTGGGGCCATGTTTATTCCTCACATTCATTAATGTTCTTGCCAGTGAATTGTAGTCGAATTTCTTACTGTTTGTAGATGATATCAAAATTTGGCATGAAATCAGGACATCGGATGCTCACATGGCATTGCAGAGCGATCTCGACAGCGCTTATGCGTGGTCATACGACAACCGACTCCAGTTCAACGTGACCAAGTGCAAAGTCGTAAGCATACGCCACCAGCTTATCTATGAATATCGACTTGGGGACCAGCAGTTACGTGTTTCTCAAGGAAATGACCTTGGGGTGATCGTGTAGGTCGAACTTGGTTGAGCGAGACAGGCTGAACAGGCATCAAAAAGAGCCAGTCAACATTTTGGACTCTTCCGGAGGGCGTTCGGGAATTTTGAGCCATCAATATTTCCGCAAATGTTGAACAGATACATGAAGCATCACGTGGAATATGCGATCCAGGGCTTGCGTAGTGGTGCAAGCGCGACGTCGATGCACTTGAAGTTCCACAACGTAGAGCGACCAAACTCGTTGTCTCATCTCATCTACCAACGCAGACTTCAGTCCCTGAGATTGTACTGTGGTGGATATCGACGTCAGCGAGGAGAGCTAATCATGCTTTACTTAATACTGACGAACCCAACTCACCCATGTCGCAACCTGTTGCAACTGAGCCAAAATTCCAACCTGAGAGGCTATCAGCTCAAACTGGCTACGCACTACAGTCGGCCTGATTGTCGAAGAAACATTTTCTCTCTCCCTGTGTCCTGTGCCTGGAATGCCCTACCGACTCACTTTATCCTTGTCCCAACAATAACGGTATGCAAAAACGCCTTGTTGAAACGCTCTCCAGCTTGCATTACTTGATATGAACAATGAACAGTGAGCAGTGATTTATCACGGGATAAAAGCAAGTGCTTGACATGTCCCGTAGGATGGTTGCGGTGAATATGATGAAAACAAAATATCTCTAGGTCATCTATCGAACGTCTGCCGAGATGAATAGTTTGATAAGTAACATCAGTGTAAAATTAAAATAAATTACCGAGCGTAAACGTTCAGAAAGACACTGGGGTGCAGTGATCGCTGATGTAAGGAGTGAGAAAAGTAAAATATGGTCGCTCACTTAGGTCCATTTGTTACATAAATCCTGTTGAAAAGCATGCTTGGCGTAATCCGCAATAGAAGAGCTTAGGTAACAAAATGTTGGGAGCTAAGAGCAACATCTAATCGTTTTTTGAGAACATCCAAGGTAGGAGAGGAAACAACTGAGTCTGGGAATGCGTTCCAGGGTTGGCAAACCCGAAGGGAAAAGTAATTCCGTCGACACTCTAGACGGCTGTATTGTTCCTTCAAATTTAAGCAGTTACCCTTGAGCTGCGTGTTGTGGTTAAGTATCAGCAAATGGAGACATACGTGGTGGGTTCACTCAGTATCTGATACGCTAATATGAGATCACCGCGCAGCCTTCGATAGCACCCGCTGAAAATTCCCAGCAACTTCAGCCTTCGGTGGTTAGAGTGATAGCGCGGTTCCTTTACATTCTTAGTTGCTCTTCGTTGTGGTGCCTCTATCGCTTCTAGGTCGCGCTTTAACCAAGGTTGCCAAGCTTGGATAACGTATTCAACATGCGGGCGCACGTAGGAATTGTGCATCATTGAGAAGATTGATGGATCAAATCTCCCGAATGCCCTTCGCAGCATGCTGACATGCTGGTTGCCTCTTTTCGCAGCTACCCCAGCCTGTTCTGAACAGTTGAGGTCGCCCTGTACGATCACACCAAGATCACGTTCCTGGGAGCTACTCTGCAATCCGGTTGTCCTAAGTGAATAGGTGTAGTTATGCCTATGGCGTAATTGTACTACGCGACATTTGTCTACGTTGAAGGGTAGGGCGTTTTGAACTGACCAGTTCGACACAGTGTTTAGATCGCACTGGAGCCGTTCATGGTCGCCCGGTCCTCTGATGCTTCACCGTATCTTGATATCATCAGTGAAAAATAAGAAATCGGAAATAACTGAGCTCGCCAAATCGTTAATGAACACCAAGAATAGACGAGGTCCAAGAACCGAGCCTTGTGGTACTCCACACCACATCGATTGCATGAGAAAATGATTCTCGGACTCTCACCACTAGCCGTCGTTCTTGTAGAAAATTGTCAATCCAACTCAGGGTTGGGTCGCCAATGCCGTAATTCCGAAGCTTCTGAAGGAGAATGCGACGGTCTAAGCGATCAATCGCTTTTGAAAAGTCCAAGTAGATGACATCGACCCCTCTCCATCATCAACAGCTTCAGTCCAGCTATTACGTGCAATTCATAGGTTAGTATTACACGAATGCTTTTGACGAAAGCCATGTTGCTCTGGGGCTATTAAATTGTGGCTTTCCATGTATTGCATCAGCGCATCTGCGATGACAGATTCCATCACTTTGGATAGTAGGGGAAGTAGTGTTATTGGACGGTAGTTGGCAGGATCAGTGCAGCTACCTCCTTTATGGATAGGAGTGATGACCCCTCGCTTTCATACTGGTGGAATACGGTTCTCCTCTAGACATCGCTGATAGAAAACAGCCAGTGGTTCTGCTAGATCACTAGCTACTGCCTGTAGAGACTTTGGTCGGATGTTGTCGGCTCCGGGAGAACTGTGGATACGCAAGGATAACAACTTCTTCAACACAGCTTCCGCAGTGAAGTTGATGTTTTCTAAACCAGATGGTGGAGTATTAGAAATGAGGAGAATGTTTGCGCTCGTTACCTGCTGGAAAGTTTGGGAGTAATGAAGCCGTAGGAGATCAGCTGCTTCCATTGCTGATCACGTGCACCCATCAGCCATGACTAGTGCTGGAACCCCCTGCTTCACCTTTCGAAGGCCGTTAACGTGCCTGTACAGGAGTTTGCGGTTCGTGCAGAATCGGTCCATTAACTCCTGCTGATGAGTGACCTTGTCTTCGCGGATCAGTTGCACACAGAAGTTACGATGTGTCACGTATGCAGTCCAGGTTTCGGCACTCGGGCAGTCTTGGTGATCTCGCCATGCTAAATCCCTCCGGGACATACATTTACGTGTCCTGCTCCTCAGAAATGAAGTACGCTTGTTTTTAGGTTGGAAGGACTTCTGCTCTGATGCGTGCGCTACTAGTGTACTAAACGTCCTTGTAAATGTTTCCCAGGCAACATCTGAGGGGCATTCGGTTAAGAAAGTCCAAGATGTATCCTTAACAAGCTTGGACAACACATCGATGATCCTTCCAAGTTTAATGTTTACTCCAACCATCCTACGGGGCTTGTTAAGCACATGCTTTTTTACCCGTGATAAATCATCTTTCATATATATATATATATATATATATATGTATATATAGTTCGCACCAGAATCATAGGTGGTAAATCGAGACGATTGTTTCTCAAACAGATGCTCCAATGTAAATTGGTCATCGTACCTTATTCAGTGAACACAGAAAAACATGATCCGTTTCCCCAATACCTAACTAAATGAACACACTATCACGGTTCACATTGTGCATGGGTATGAACCATGTCTCGTCCAGTAGAAGAGTTCCATCCAAGTGTGCCCTCAATGTTGCCCCTGCTCAAATATCCGTTATATTTGTTTTATTTTTTGATGCGCACACCCACAAACCTTTAAGCCAAGAGTATATATTTGATGTGGCTGAGGTTTGAAAAGGTTGAAGATTCATGGGTAAAGAGGAGCAATCCAGTGGTGTCAAGGAGATGTTGCTGAATCACTATGCAAGCAACAAGTGACCCGTTCCAAACATTTAGAAGAATCTGAAAAATTTGGTTGAGACCACAAGACAAACTGCTATTCGTTAGAGCACACAAAGCACAAAACGATGTGTCAATCTAGAAAAGAGGTGTAGGAGATGCAGATTGCGCGAAAGCAGTCCAGAAATGGAGTTTTGCGTTGAAAGCTACATTCCTTCCAAATGAGTGGAAAGTTAAACTCTTTGGATTACTGACAGAAAAGTGGTAGCCAAAAGTAAAAACCAAAAGCAATGTGGAATGAGTGCTGGCGAACCTTGTAAAAACAACAGAGGATTGCTTTTCAGGTGACTACAACGCTGTTGCTTAGTGAAAGACATCCTATAGATGAGAAACTCCCCAAACACAGAGACGCAAGGGATACACGAATACAGTAAGCATGCGGAGATTGTGCGGTAAAGCTTGGTAGCCACATGGAAAAGAAATACAAACAGTGTGAAGACAAAGATGCTGAAAGTGCGATGGGGATCTGAAGCATGCAAGATATGTGGGTGGTGTTTGTAGATCACGAGAATGGGAGTGCTGTTAGGCTGATACGGTTAGCCACAGTTAGGCACGGCAAACAGGTGACCTACCGCGACCTCTTGGTTAGTGATAGTTAGAGTGCTGGTTATGTGTGAGTCGTAGTACTTTTGTAGTTTCTCATCGAACTAAGAGGAAACAAAGGGAAATTTCAAACGGCGATTAAATATATGGTGGAAACTGCCTAACGGCTAGAAAACCAAAAGTGCACAAATAGCCTAACTCGATCCCGCTGGGTTACACTGAACAGACTGGAGTAACCAGGGTCAGAATTTGCAAGCATATAGCGGCTAGGGTGAGAGATAAGTGAACGAAGTGCATAACGTAACGCACGTGGAGAGCTATGAATGATAAGTGAGCGCACAATGTGATCGAGTCGTCAAGTTAACTTTATTGTTTAATAAACTTAGAAAATATCACAAAGATGTAACGCGCATGATCGTTTACCTCATGCAGCGGATAAGCGGCCATAAATGTGCCGTCTGACAGTAGCCTTGTGATACCAACCAGTGGGACTTTTGCGCGAACCACTTCGTCTGAAGAAGTAAAAAGTTCTGTTATAAAAGCGCTGGATCTTACCATCGCTAATTTCTTGAGCAGAGGTGGCCTGATTTTTCAAAACGCATCGCGTGCGACGAAGTATGTAGTCCACCACGAGTGCGCGCTCTGAAGCAGTAAAAAACTCGTCCCTTTCCTCAGGAATGTCGAATCTGACAGAAAAGTAGATAAGTCATTTTTCGGCGTCAATAATAAGTGCAGGGCAGTCCGATAAAACTACACGCGACACTGGGGAAGGTAGAGTAAATTTACTGCACGCACGCTTAGGCAGATGAATAAGTGAGATGTTCACACGCAGACCGTAAACAAGCTCATTACCAAGGCGACCTAAAGGAGGTAGATTTTTAGTGTTTTTTGACATGAAAAGGAGAAACGGATATTGTTAACATTTACACGAAGCGGGCAGTGACTTTGCATTAGGCCTTAAAATGAGATTCAAGTTTAGGTGCTCCATCCTACGCTTCCAGTTGATGCAAAATCAGAAAGCTAACAAGTAAGAGGGAATTTACGTACCAAGCCACAATGTCACAATTTGAAACAGGCTACGCAATGAACAATGATTTATGTGGGGTAAAAAAGCAGTTCCTTGACAACTCCCGCAGGATGGTTGGGATAAAACTACTATTATCAAACGATAGCTGAGTTATCTGTTTGAGCGTTTATCGAGCAGATACGCTGCTGAAAAACAGTAGTGCAAATGGGAATGGAATGTGAAGGACGTGGCAACATGGGGACAGTTATAGTAGATGTATTACATTTGAAAAGTACAAACAAGAATACTCAATTCTGTCCCGCATCTCCAGGTTTATGTAACATGCGCATCCGGTTTGGAGGGTTAATTAATATATTCCAAAGTTGCACAGTTTAAGCAACAAAGTGATGGGGGCCAAAGGCAAGATCCAATCGTTTTTTGGAAATATCCAAGGTGAGGGAGGAAACAAGGAAGTTTGGGAAAGCGTTACAGGTTGGCAAACCAGAATAAAAATATAATTGCGCCGGCATTCCAGGCGGCTATACTATGCACACAATTTCAGACGGTTACCTCTGATATTGGAGTTATGGCTGAGTTTCAGCACGTGACGGCATACGTGATTAGGGTCACACAATATTTGCTAGACTACTAGGACATCGCCGCGCAGCCTTCGGTAGCGGCCACTGAAAACTCCCAGTGACTTCAGCCTTTGATGGTAGGACAGATTTCGTTGGCCCTTGACGTTCTTTGTGGCCCTGCGTTGGGGTTTCTCTAAAACTTCTAAGTCGTACTTCAACCAAGGTTACCAGGCTTGGTTGGCGTAGTTAACGTGAGGGCGCACGTAAGAATTGTGCAGCATGAGGAAGATGGATGGGTCGAATCTACCGAATGCTCTCCGCAGCAAGCCGACTTGCTGGTTGCCTCGCTTCGCAGCTGTCTGTGACTGTTTTGAACAGTTAAGATCACTTAGAATGCGCACATCAAAATGGCGTTCTTGGGAAGTTGTTTGAAATACATGTGACTTAAGCCTATACACGCAGTCTTGTTTATGGCGCAATTGAACTGCGTGACATTTTTCCACATTGAATGGTAGGGTATTTAAAACTGACCAGGTTGAAATCGTGTTAAGGTCACGCTGGAGCATTTCGTGGTCGTTCGGTTCTTCGATCGCTCGCCATATCTTGATATCATCCGCGAAGAGTAGGAAAGCGAAGTGATTTCCCTCGCCAGTTCGTTCAAGAAAAAAAAAGAATAGACGGGGCCCGAGCACCGAGCCTTGTGGTACGCCGCACTCCACCACAGTTGCGTCGGACAGGGATTCTCGTACTCTCATTTCCAACCGACGTTCGTGCAGGAAATTGCCTATCCAACGCAGCAGTGAGTCATCAACGCTATGGAGCTGAAGTTTATGGAAAAGAATTTGGTGGTCTAAGTGACTAAACGCTTTTAAGAAGTCCAAGTAAATGACATCGACCCCTGCTGCACCATCAACTAATTCAGTCCGGCTGTTGCGTGCAATTAACAAGTTCCTAGTGCATGAGCGCTTTTTTAGAAAGCCATTTGCCCTGGTGCTATTATCTTGTGATTTGCCAGATACTGCATGAGTGCATCAGCTCTGATGGACTCCATAATGTTGGAAAGCACAGGGAGTAGCGTTATAGGACGGTATTTGGTTGGGTCAGTGCGACTACCTCCCTTATGAATAGGAGTGATTACCCCACCCTTCCATATTTTTGGAAAATGGTTCTCCTCCATACAGCGCTGATATAATATAGCCCGAGGCTCCGCCAGATCACTGGCTGCTACCTGTAAAGCCTTCGGTCGAATGTTATCGACACCAGGAGAGCTGTGGATACGCAGCGACAACAGTTTCTTTGACACACTCTGCAGTAAAAGTAATGTTAAATAAACCTGATGGCGGGACAATAGAAACAGAGATAATCGTTGGGCCTGTTACTCTCTAGAACGTTTGTGAGTAATGGAACCGTAAGGGATCGGCTGCTTCCGTTGCTGATCGCGTGCATCCATCAGTCGTGATCAGTGTTGGAATTCCTCGTTGCACCTTACGAAGGCCATTAACATGCCTTTATAAGAGTTTGTGGTTCGTGCAGAATGTTTTCATTAACTCCTGCTGATGCATCAGCTTGTCCTCGCGGATCATATGCACACAGAATTTAAGCTGTGCCACAAAGGCAGTCCAGGTTTCGGAATTCGCAGAGTCCTTGTGAGCTCTCCATGCTGAGTCCCTCAAGGACATGCATTTGCGTGTTCTGCTCCTCAGAAGTGACTTCCTTCTCCTTTGACGATGGAGGGATTTCTGCCCAGACGCGTGCGTTACCAGTGTGGTGAGTGTCCTAGTAAAAGTGTCCCAGGCGATTTCTGGGGCGCCTTCCGTTAAGAAGGTCCAAGATACCACCTTAACAAGCGCAAATAACAGGTTGTAGTGAGTGCCCGTATATATTTTATCTTCCTCTTCCTCTGGATATTGCACATAACATACATAGTTGAAGAGTAAAGTCACATGGTCACTGTGACCCAGGGGAGTGCTTGTAATTATTCCGTCTACCATGAGTTCTTCGTTGATTAGCACAAGATCAAGCATCAACGGCTTGTTAGCAGTTCGAAATCTGGTGGGAGTGTTCACGTGGTTTTCCAGAGGGTAGCTGGAAATTACCTCATGTAAAAAGGCTTTGAACTGCATGCTATCGGTCGCCGCTATTTCCAGATCGGGCACATTAAAGTCGGCTGCGAGGAGAGGGTGACTGTATGTCATGCTCAAAGCAACCTGAAGAACGTGGTTCAGTTTGGAGTCCGTTTCACACGTAGAGTTTGGTGGACGCTAAATCACAGCTACATGACGTGTGTCATTGTTCCGCAACCATAGCGGGCACCAAAGCGAATCTGGGGCACGGATCTCTGGGTGGTCAATAACTTCACATCGGAGGTTAGCCTTGTAACACAGAATTACGCCAACACCTCTTCCAGCTCTGTCATTCCGAAGCAGTGACATACCAGATAAATTGACTTCAGAAGCTGTTATCTCAAGGCCTAACTAGGTCTCCGTAATCATAATGAGAGCCCGTGGTTGTGACGCCTGGCTTTTTCTAAGTTTGGCCAACTTACCAAGAAAAACTTGGGCGTTAGTATACAAACATGATAGTGTTTTGCTCTTAGAAGTGTGTAGGTGGACAACAAACCTGTGTCTAATTTTAAGCCGACCGTTTGTCAGTCGGCCGCTAATCGCTTTTTGTGTGGGCTTTTGGTGCTTAAATTTCAGTCAGACTGCATGGTAGCATGGAGTATCCCAGATCGAGATGTTCCCTCGTGTGTCTCCCTGTCCCGTCAGGTGTCGCTAATGCCATGTTGTCTACAACGCTGCAGGATTGTGGAGGCAAATATTTTACTGAGGTTGCATGTTCCAATGTAGTGCTGATAAATAGTGGCCATGCGCCTGCTATCTGTAGCGTACTCTCGGTAGGCAACCTGGAGCGATGATTCAACGTGCTATCCACTAGGATTTCTGTCATTCCATCGGAGTGTAGCATGAATTTCAATATTTTTGGACCGCAGCCATTGTAGTTTGGAGATGAAGGAATTCTGGTTAGTGATTTAGCGATAACGTGGTCCAGAGAGAGTGCTTCGCGGATGTAGCACCACTGCTCTCGGTCATGTTTTTGCGCTTCGTGCTCAGCAGAGCCCAGTAGTTCAGGAACACCATGAACAAATACGGTTTTTCTGCTTTCGTTCATAGAAAGACCGCCATGGTTTTCTTTTTCCTTTGACCGTCCTTTCCAAGGACTATCGGGTAGCATGCATACCTCGCTCGATGAGTTGCAAAGATGAACTGCTGAGAGTAGGACTATCTTTGTCTCCTCAGTTGAATTCAAGGTTACTCGAAGTAATCGGGGTTCGCCGTAGTGAACTGACGTTGGGTGCCGGGCTACACAGCGTAGCCCAGTCGGGTCAACCCGAATACCAATCGCATCGCCGATGGAAGGCCACTGGTTGCGATTATCTACCCAATTGCCTTTTATTGTGCCAGAACTGGACTCAGGAACGTTGGTGCACACGACCGTTAACGCACTGTGGTACGGTTTAGCGCATGCTGGTTTGAGTGTTGTGGCTGTTAACTTGGATTGCTTTGCGGGCACTAAAGAAGGTTGTGAAAGCGGCGCCGCATCGCTCATGCTTGATTCAGAAGATGGATGTACGGGTGTCTCTTTTGGCGTTTTTATCAAGGCGATCGATGCGTATGTTACTTGGCTGTGGACTGTCTGTGTCGGTGTTGTGACCAACTCGTGAGATATGGCGTCTAGGGATGAATTAATAGCAATCACGCTGGATGTGTCTTGCTTGCTTAAAGGGTTAGTAACTGTCGGAGTAGGTAGAGCAGATGCCGTCGGGCGGTTAGAAAGCCTGACTTTAGCCAACGACTTAGGGACAGTTCTAAGGGGTTTGTTGTAGAGAAAGATCGGTGTTGTTAGATTCTAATGGCAAAGCCCTGAAGCTCGCCATCTGCTGGACTTTTTCAGTCCGTTTTTCGCACTTTTTCTCGAGCGATATTATCCAATTGACTATTAGAATTGCTCTGCATATTTGGCAAAACCAGAGCGAATCAGTCAAGTTGATTTGTCTCTTGTATGGTAGTTGACTTAGACCAGCACAGAGGGTGAAACGAAA